CGGTGTCGAATCGTACTGTGGTCAAACGGAACACGCCCGACAGTGTTTCGTTCGATGTTTGTGTTCGTTTCCGCTGCATTCGGGTCTCGTCTTTGAGAAACAATGTATTTGGCGAATTAGTTTCCGTATTTTCAGCAATCTGTTTTAGAGATTCGATAATAAGTTTGAACTGTCTTTCTAATGCAATTTCTTCTTCTAATTTACCGGTTTTTAGAGCGCGATATTTTTGACGAATGGATTAACTCGTTTTTGCAATCTCTTTTGCTACTTTCTCGCGATCTATAATTTCACTGCTTTCGTCAGCCATGTTGCTCGCACTGTAGGAGAGATGATACTTGGTTGATGTCTCAACAACGATTAACCACTTGCTGGTATCGCAAACTCGTTAAAACCTTTTCTATAGCGACGTCTGTTCAAAAGACTATCCTTGTCGATCACTAAAAATCCATATTTGTTTTGCCAACATTTGCGACATAATGTACAAAACTTCTCGTACGACATATCCGTGGTTACATGATTGTTGTACACATGTTTGAGATTGGTACCATCTTGTTTAAACAGAATTATCAGATTTGCGTTGTCACGTATAAGATGCTTTGGTATCCTTGCGTACGTCTGACAAAGATAAAAACAGTCGACACTTGAGTGACGACCCATTGCAAAGTATTCTCGTATCGTATCCTGCTTGTCACATGCCACATCATCAAAAATAAAAATAGAATTTGGAAGTGCTTCATTCGGTGGAATCACATCGCTATTATTAGAAAAGGTAAAATAACCGATTTTGTCTACTGATAAAAGTACATTCTCCAGATATTGATACTTTGGTTGTTGCAACGACTTGGAATACACGTACACGTTTTCAAAACGTACACCGTGTGGACTTTCAAGCAAGTTTAACACTACATTTGTCTTGCCGCAGTTCGAAGGACCGCACACAATACCACGTATAGTAACCGGTAGCATTATTCCATGTTTGCGTATTTTCTTGTCGGACATTTGTTGAGTTTTGTTGTCAAAATTAATTACTTTAACTCCTTCAGGTTGTCGCACGAACTGCATGGTTTGTTTTAACTGCTTCGCGCGAGGAGCACCTATTTATAGAGACGCGCCGAGCGTGTCTATTCAGTCGTCAGTAGACAGCTGATGTCACAAACGTATTATGCAATCTTTGTCAGGTCGTGGATTCTTAAATCGCGTGATAAACGCTCTTCCTGTCGAATTACATATTCCGGGCTACCAATTTTGTGGCCCGAGAACGCGTTTGGAAAAACTATTAGCTAGAGGCGATCGCGGCATTAATCCATTGGACGCGGCTTGTCGTGAACACGATATAGCTTATTCGCGAAGCAACGAACTCGCTGCTCGACACGTAGCTGATAACGCACTTGCTGCGAA